TAACTTCTTTTTTTTACCCGGTGATACTTTCACTAATAGATGATTTAAAGTTTTCAAGATTATCATACATTTTTTTGGCAAATTCTTCAAATTGTTTATTTAGGACTTTTCCAAGTCTATCAACATTGTCATTCTCACTTTCATACTCCGAGTCATCAGAATTTTTTACACTAACCTCTTAGTCAGTCAGTCAATTAATTAATTTACAAAAATTATTTTAGTTAATAATAAAATATCACGAGCGAAAAAAAACCATATATGTTTACTTGGTAGCCCTCTAGCGGAAAAATTATTTTATTAAAAATACTTCGGAGAGACAAAATGTTGTAACGAAAGTCTATGATCAATAATATAAGTTTTTAAGATACCAAATTTGTTTATATATTTGGGTTTTTCGAATAATGCATGTCAGTTTGCATACTGATAAAATTAAATTAAAGAATAAAAAAATAAATATGTCATTGAATTTGGTTGCGTTTTATTATATTTGTAAAGCCTTTGTAAATAAATCATAATAGATAAAAAAGAAAAAATTACGCCAAACGTCATTAGCCAACCCCATAACTAAGGACTAATTTGAAATAATTTGGCGCAAGGGATCGCAGTAGCAAGAGCCATCTGTGCGCAATGTACATAATCCTAAACCACTAAAGTTATAAAAAAAAGGATGAACTCTGTGATAACAACTCCGCTCACTCCCATATATTGGTACCGTTAAAAATTACTAAAAGCACGATAAATGAATTACTAAATACGCCGGAGACATTAAATTTTACCCCCCGAGAGGGTATAAGAATACTTTAATAGAGCCAATGTCAAAATTGACCAATGGGCGTTTTTAACCAAGTTTGGAACGTGACTTTCCTCTGTTACAGTGTGAAAGTGAGCTAAATTCGCCACGTCTACTTCCCATATACCACAAGTTTAAGTTTGTTTTGAAACTTTCACTTTCCAGTATATAAATCTAGAATGAATTCATATATCACAATAAAAATCTGAACGAATAGTGCATTTGTGGCATGCCTCCTAAACATTGTTCAAGCCCCTATGCTTCGAATATGTGAAACCCAGTACCTATAGTTGACTTTTTACTTTAAATGTTGGTCAATGTGTGAGATATATAAATGAAATCTTCTTCTTCTTGATTGGCGTAGACACCGCTTACGCGATTATAGCCGAGTTAACAACAGCGCGCCAGTCGTTTCTTCTTTTCGCTACTTGGCGCCAATTAGATATTCCAAGTGAAGCCAGGTCCTTCTCCCTTGGTCCTTCCAACGGAGTGGAGGTCTTCCTCTTCCTCTGCTTCCCCCGGCGGG